TCCCACGGGTCCCGAGGGGTCCAGGGCACCCCGAATCCAGGCGGGACTCAGTGACCTCAGAAGTGTTGTGTTGTCCAAGCTCAAGGATTGTGTGATGCCATCCCAGGTGAGACCCAAGGACCTGCATCCTGTCCTGGGTCAGGAATGCCATCCCAGGTGAGACCCAAGGACCTGCATCCTGTCCTGGGTCCAGGGAAGGGACCTCCATCCCATCCCAGGTGAGACACAGGGACCTGCATCTCGTCCTGAGTGAGACACAGGGACCTGCATCCCATCCCAAATCAGACCCAGGGAACTCCATCCCACCCCAGGTGAGACACAGGGACCTGCATCTCATCCCGAGTGAGACACAGGGACCACAGGTGAGACACAGGGACCTGCATCTCGTCCTGAGTGAGACACAGGGACCTGCATCCCATCCCAAATCAGACCCAGGGAACTCCATCCCACCCCAGGTGAGACACAGGGACCTGCATCTCATCCCGAGTGAGACACAGGGACCACCATCCCATCCCAGATCAGACCCAGGCCATCCCATCCTGAGTGAGACACAGGGACCTGCATCCCATCCCAAATCAGACCCAGGGACCTCCATCCCATCCCAGATCAGACCCAGTGCCCAACACTCAGCTCGTCCCCTTCCCCCGCAGCCTGGGCAGTCACCAACCATATCACCTGGGATGGGATGGGATGGAGGTCTTACAGAGAAGAACTTAGAAAACACTTGATTGCAGCACTAAAGATTTTCCTATCTATGACTTCTACTTTGTATTTCCCTGTTCCTCCTTTCCACTTCAGATTCACACATTAAAACTCACAAAATAAGCTCAGACAAACTCCATTTTAACACTCTTTTTTATTGTAGTACTATCGTTTACTTTGGTAAATGCGTATCCCTGTTTAAAGTGCCTTAAAGCAATTAAAACTTAGTTTAAATTCAAGTATTGTAAAACGTACAGAGTCTAAGCAGAGAAAAAAAGCTGCATAGTGGAAATACTGGAGCAGGCTGATACATTCAGGATGCCAAGGAGGCAGTGGAACCACCACCAGCTCAGGGTTCAGGTTCAGGGGGATTAGCCAGCTTGATGCAGCACAGACAGGATGGGGCAGATGCATCATCCTTACCATGGACAAACGAGAGAAGCATAATTAACTGTTTGGTACCAGTTTTGCACACATGCCATAAGGAATAAGGCAAATACTGACACTGAAGTTACTCCTTTACATGCTGCTGTGACCCAGCAAATCCCATGTGAGGGTTTTCCAGGCTCTGAGCCCCGGCAGTCCTGGTGGGAGCTGTGAGGTCCATCCTCTTCAAAACCCTTACAGACCGTCACTCTTGTCTTCTACCATCGTGTTTGAGTCTTTGAAATCTGTGCCATAACATTCTCAAGGTTTGGCTGTTCTCTGAGGATGGTGCAGGAGCATCTGCTGGGACTTGTGTCTGCCCTTGGCTACCTCGAGGAGGAGTTGGGAGAACTTGGGGTTGAATTATACTTTGGATTTGTAGCCCTTGTTTTGCCCAGTTAATTTGAAGAAGGAGTTGGGAGAACTTGGGGTTGAATTGTACTTTGGATTTGTAGCCCTTGTTTTGTCCAGTTAATTTGAAGGACTAACAGCTGTACCCTGGTGTAACAGTGACTCATCACATGTGCCAGATCAAGAATATCCCTCTCCTGTGGTATTTGCCACAGGAGGAGTTCACTGGAGATATTTTAAGTCACATTGTTGTAACAAAACCAGTTGAATACCAGCAGTGAAATGGCTGGTTGGCTCCTCACATTTGGACAATCAAAGGGTGTGATTTCACTTGCTATGGCTGAGAGAGTTGCAGTACAGGTATGTGCAGACACATAAGAGGATGATCTGTCAGGGGAGATTATTTGCAGACGACCTGATTCTGGGTCAGGGTTTCGTACGTAGCAGAGCACTTCTCTCACTGTGATCTATTGAGAATCAGCCCTCGACACAAGCTTTTGTAAGATGGGTTCAAACTGAAGGAGGGAAAGCCTAGGTTGGATGTGAGGAAAAAGTTTGTTGCTCTAAGGGTGGTGAGACACTGGCACAGGTTGCCCAGGGACGTGGTGGCTGTCCTGACCCTGGTGGTGTTCAATCCAGGCTGGATGAGCCTTGAGCAACCTGATCTAGTGAGGAGATGTCCCTGCCCAGGGCAGGGGTTGGGACTGGATGATCTGTCCAACCCCTAAATTCTATGGTTCTATGATGACTGCTTCAAAATCAGGGCAACAATATGGCTAAAATGGTATTGGATTGTAACAGCACTTGAAAAAGAGGTGTAGAAGGATGTAAGGGAAAGACATTTTTGCTCAGCTGCTGCCTAAAAAAATGAATTTAAAAATATCAGCCACTTCAACAGAAAATTCTCTGTCAGTAGTTCATGTACTTTCAGAGCATCTTTGTATGTAATTTTTGCTATTAGAAAGTATTGGTTTAAAATATATTTCTAGTATGACAGTTGTGATATAAATTATTGCAAGGATTCCCCAGTCATTATATGTTTGCAATACTGGATATCTAAGAGAACGAAATATACATTTCTCATTTCCAGGAAGAGAAAACAAGTTCTCTTTTACAAAGGCAGAAATATGTCAAACTCTACAGTTCTAGGTTAACTCCTGTAACACTTGGTGAAACTCTACAAAACAACAGCAATGAGAAAATGAAAGGGCTGAGTAGAAAACCAGTGGAAGTTGGGTGTGTTGGGGTCTGAACTCCCTCGCTCTTCCCCCTGTGGTTTGAAGGACTCCCATGGTTTGGCTGTGAAACCGAGGGCGTGGGAAGGTTGTGGCTGGAGCAGGGAGCGGCTGGGGGAGTCCGTTGGCAGCTGATGTCCAGAGCCTGTTGGGTGCCCTGTGGGCACTGCTGAGGTTAGGGTTTGATGGAAGGGATGCTGCAGGACCTCCTCATCACCAGCCTGACCTCAATGTCGGGGAGAGTTTTCTTTTTCGTGTGTAAACATCCCTCGTCCGTGGCTGCCAGGTGCAGGTCAAAGCGCAGGGACACGGACTTCTTCCTCAGGCGAGGGTTGTCCTTGAAGAAAGAACCTTCCCATTCCTTAATCACTTCATCCACTTTTTCTGTCCTGAAACAATCAAGCAAATTATTTATGATTATTTTAGGCAACAAGAGTTATCTATCTTCAGGATTGTTTTAAAACAGAGGGAGAAATTGCATGATAAAGTGTTATTTCAGATGGTGCTGAGACAGCAGAGGTTTTCTTTTTTTCCACAGGTTCATTATATTCTTGGTTTTGTACTTTTAGGTAGACATGGCTACAAACCCACTGCTCCAAACACAGCAGGCAGTTTGTTTCCAAGCAGAAAGTTTGGAATCCAAGCTCAAAAACTTTGCAAGAAGCTTCAGTACTGTAGTGGGCAGGACAGAATTCCTGTGTGCAAAAACCTTCAAAACAGGGAGGAGAAATCTAGTTCAGATCCAAACCTCAGAATGTAGAGCTATGTTACACTAAAGAGAAAAAAGGACAGAAGTGAAATAAGGAGAATGGAAACCTCAGCTGATGCAGGCACCCAAATCCTGTTGATTTGACCCTCCATGTGTGTGTCAGGATCCAGATCTGAATGTTGGGCTCTGGGGCCTCACTCAGGAGGAGCAAACTGCCCCTGGCTGAGCAGCTCTGTGCAGAGCTGAGGGACTGTGTGTGATGAACAAAGCCATGTATGAGAATAAGCATCAGGCATGGGCTGTGTGTGGTGGAGCTTTTGATCCAAATTCCAACATGTTTCCAGCAGCCTATGACAGCTCAGTGTCAGGGACATGATCCACTGCACCGTGTTTAAAGGTAATTTTTTCCTTTTTTCCCTTTCAGGAATGAATAAAATGAGGCAGTCCAATAGTATTACAGTAATTTCAGGTGAATAACACATCCTGACAGACTTTCACGTGCCTATTTGGGAGCCAGGCTCTCCCTCCCCTGTTTGGGAAAATGTAGGAGATTCCAAGGAGCAAGTCAGAGCAGCAGAGCCTGAATTTATGTGCACAAATATGCCCCAGAGGGATTTCCCCAACGTGGTCAGGGTTCTGCTTTCAGCCTTAGTGAGATGAATTATTCATAGTTTCATTCTTAACAGAAATAGAAATTACAAATCAGAAGCATCTTCAGAGTATTGTTTGCTCAGGAGGTCAATGCTAATAAAATAACTTGTCAGTGTGATGTATGGTTCAAACACACAGTCAGTGTACCTGCAGGAGCCCTCACTTGTTCTGGAGCTCCAGACACCAAAAAACAGGCAGCTCAAAGCTGCTGGAACCTAACCCCCACCAACAACTTCCAATTATCTGTGAAAATCTTGTTTGTCTTACTGTACAGTGCCATGAGCTTCAGCTCTTTCCTTCATGATATTTCCATCTAGGATTGCTTGTTTTGTCATCAGTTCCACCTTCTCTGGTTCCTGCTTCTTCACACCATCTGTAAGAGACAATCAGGTGCACTGAGCATGCAGAGGGGCAGGGGCAGGACACAGGGCCTGGAGGAATTTTGCCTGCATGGGAAAAGGTACTTTTGTAATATGCAGGAGTTTGTCAGTAGTTGTGAAGCTTTTTGGGGCCATAATCCCCAAGGGGAAAGAGAAACCGACCTGAAGGCAGCGTAAAGCTGATCTTGCTAGTGCTGGGTTTCTTGTCATCCTTCTGGGCAGGTATTGAGCACCGGAACCTGCAAAAATACAAACAGTTACAGGCACCCAATAATACTGGATTACTTTAACCCAAACTTGTTTTATGAATAGCTGTGAGAAATTTAAGTGTGAGAACCAGGAGAAGTTCTGTTTGATCTCAGTCACTGTTTGTTGGGATTTCTGAGTGTGGAACTGGAGGAAGTTCTTGACCATATCTGTGCAGTTTCATGCAATGATCTGTCCTGGGCTGGAGCAGGTCCAGAGCAGAGCAAC